TCCAGTTACTCCTGAGCAGTGGGTTGGAAGAAACTCGCCATGGAGCTGTGGATTGTCCCCTTTCACCTTCACAGGAAGACAGCGGAGGCCTGGTGGATCCCAGGAGTTCTGAGCACAGAGTGTGTGGGCAGACGGTACATATTCACACTGTGTTCTTAAGGTGGAGGAAGAGTGGCCTATTCCCATAACTCCCCTTCCCCCATTCTCATGCATATATTCCAGAGCTTTAACAAAACCTTTGGATTTGCTTGAAATGTGACTTGAAGAGTTTGTCAAATATGGAGAATTGAATTTGGGGTTACCCATCAAAACCCCACATTTTGATGTCTTTTGTTTATAATTTTTTACCTTTACCTCTTTCTTCTTCTTCCTCTTCTTAAAGAATACCCTTCAGCATTTCATGTAATCCTGGTTTGTTGTTGATGAACTCATTTAACTTTTTCTTGTCTGTGAAGCTCTTTATCTGACCTTCAATTCTGAATGATAGCTTTGCTGGGTAGAGTAATCTTGGTTGTAGGCAACAAGTGAATCTAAAAATCAAGAGAATAAAAAAAAAATCTGAAGAACAAAATGGACTGATGAATATAATAGAATCAGGGTCATAGAAAGGGATTGGACTAACAATTCACAGGGGGAAAGGGTTTTGAGGGGTGCTGGAAGAGATGGACAAAATCTTACACCTATGGATGAAGACAGTGGCAGGGATAAAGACGTGGGGTGGGTTGGGAATCAGGTGGAGGGGAGTTATAGGGGGGCGGGGGGGGGGGGAGAGGAACACCTGTAATAATCTGAACAATAAAGATTATTTTAAAAAATAAATAAATAAAAACAAAACCCACATTTTGAACTGGCAAAACTATAAATGTGAATTGAACGAATCAACAGCTGATAGATAATAAGAACTGGCGAGTAATGAGTAATCGGATGGCCTAGGGCCGTGGTCAGCAAACTGCGGCTCATGAGCCACATGTGGCTCTTTGGCCTCTTGAGTGTGGCTCTTCCACAAAATACCACATTCTGGGCCAGTCTATTTTGAAGAAGTGGCGTTAGAAGAAGTTAAAGTTTAAAATTCTTGGCTCTCAAAAAAAATTTTAATCGTTGTACTGTTGATATTTGGCTCTGTTAACTAATGGGTTTGCCAACCACTAGTCTAGGGCTTCCAGGTTAGGAGGACCTAGCACATTCGTGTGAGGTTATGAGAGAATAAATCCATAGTCACCTAGCCCGGTGACCTCATGGATGGTGCTCAGAGTCTAGTCCCCTGATAGAAATACTGTATGAGGAATAGGAGCCATAGGGGGTGGGAAGGGTGCTTGTTTGAATTGTAGATTCATCTCATGGTCTTTTGAAATAACCTTTCTTTTTAGTTAATTTAGAAGCTGCTGCTTCTGCCTTTGATTTTGCTGACTTGGTCAGTGAGGGGGAAAAACTATGGCTAATCTCATTATCACAGTATTTTTTAAATGAAGTAAGTAGATGTGAGATCAAGGCTTTTAAATTTTTAAACCCCACTTTCGTAGCAGATCAGCCTAGATTTTGCCTTTTTAGGGTTGTTGCTCTTTCTGGGTTGTTGGAACAGTCAATTTTGCAAAACCTGTTTCTCATCTCTCTCCTTGTCGTTGGTTTCTCAGAGGATTACCATCTGCTGCAAAAATATCCTCTGGTTGATAGATATGGTCGTCCTCGGGTCCAGTTTTCATTGTCTCTCCCTTCCCTAAACCCCTTCCCCTTCCACCTCCTCCTCTGCCTTCTCAGCACATGGATACCTCCTCGGTCTCACAAACACATCAAGTTTTCTGTTTTCTTTGATTGTTCGGGCCATGCTGGCAATTTCTGTTTCCTTCTGTCGATGCGCGTCTTCAGGAGAAATGTGTACACAAAGACAAAATGGCTTTCAAAGGAGGCGACATCTTCATTTCTGTACTTGGTGCAGACATCAAATTGAAGGCCACTCAGCTGTCCCCGACGCTGGTTCTCTCGGCAGCCTGGAGATTAACCTCCTCCAAGGCTCTGAGCTATTTTTGAGGTGGAGGCTTGCAACAACATTAAAGCTAGAACCCATTAGGAAATCACTTTCATCATCTCTTCTTTTTTTTCCAAATCAGTGGCTTTTTTTTTTTTTTTTTTTTTCTGATCTCCTAACCCTTTAATCTCCTTTGTAGCAGAACAAGGAGATTGTTGGTTTGTGTTTGCATCCGGTGAAGTTAGAATCCTTAGCAGCCTCGGAAGAGCCCGAGGTTTTTGTGGGCTGCAACAGAGAGATGGTTTTGTCTCTGGGTGGACGCCTTCACGCCGAAGGTGCCCCACTCTCCTTGTGCAGAGCCATCATTTGTGTTGATGTTGCTCAAAACCGGGCTCCAACTTCCCCAAAAGACACGCAGCAGAAAGGCTTTTGTTGCATTATTTCTAAAGGCTTGAAGTTTCGAAGGGAAGAGATTTTGTTTTCCTCCCGGCTACACAATGGAGCTTTCAGAGAACCTCTTTTAAAAGGAATAGCTACAGCCTTTGTGTGGAAGGGTGTGTCTGCTGGCAGGGTCTGCTGAGGCAGACAGACTGGCTGGTGATTAACAAAGGTCATTAGACTTTGGAATCTGGCAGGCAGCATCGGATGGTATGTCTTCTGCGTGTGTGTAGAAGGACGACTCCCAAGAAGCCAAGGCATTCTGGAGATTCCCCCACCCCATGCCTCCCCCCCCCCCCCTCCAAATCCTGCTGGAGCGTAGGGTCTGGTCCAGGGTTGCCCTGTAAGAACCAGTGCTCTGCTGGGACTGAGGGACAAGCCTATCAATCATGGGATCACAGGACCTTCGGAAGTCTTGGTGCATGACCTGTGAGGAAGAGAGAGAGAGGTGCAGAGCTTTTTGGGGAAAGGAATGAAAACAGTTCGTTCTTTGTTGGGAGGAGAAGGGCCCAGAAGGAGCCCGGGCTCTGCTCTTGGAGGCTCCTTGCAGATCGTCAGCCCAGAGAATCCATGTTGTGCTCAGAGCTAAAATGGCTGCGCTGAAGCTCAGGACGAGGGCAGCTCAGCCAGTCTTCGGGCTCCAGTGACGCAGGGCTCCTATCTCTTCAAAGTGTGATAAACACATTCGGCAGAGCTGTGGCTTGTTTGGCTGAGATGAAAGGACTAAGCTTGGGGGATGGGGAGTGCACACTGGATGATCTGCTTTCTTTCTTGCTTTTCTTCTTTTTTTTTTTTTTTTCCTCCCTCTTCCCTATGAAGTGTTCTAAATGCAGGAGTCGTCTGCACCATGGAAAAATTTGTTTTCAGGTCTAATGGACTGTGCGAGAGGAGTGGGGTGGGGCCTGGGTGGCTGCTGTAATCCGATCCAGAGCTGATAGCAACCCTCTTCCACACGATTTAGGTTGGTGCTTCGACCTAAAAGCTTGTGTATCTGGAATATTGAGACTTGGTTAGCTGAAAAAACTGGTTCAATGTTTATTGAAAAGAAGGATAGATTGCCCCCGGGGAGAGAAGAGGAGGTGAATGTCTGCACCTCACTCTGCAAGCCCTGTCTGTCTGGAGCTGGACTTGCCAGGAGCTATTTTAGTAGGCTATCGGCAGGAGCATGCCTTCATGGAAAATCCTCCCGCATTGGACGCTTCTACCACATGGACATACTGCTAGACTTTGTTCTTTCCCGCAGGCATAAGGTATCTTCTCCAATGGAAGTAGAGAAAGTCGCTGCACAATAAAAGCGTGGAGAGATTTGTTTGTTCTCGGGCATGTGGTTCTAGATTGCAATGACTCAGTCGAGTTTGGGGTGAGTGAGCTCCATGAACTAGCTCACTCATTAAGGTCCCAGTTGGTTATCTCCACTCAGAATCTATGTTGTGATAGGAAGAAGGTCTGTACCTTCTCTATTTTTAACTTCTTACTGATGGGATTGTCCATTGAGTTAGTGGGAAGCTGTCTCTATATTTATATCCCATTTTTTTAAATAGCAGAAGGCAGGTAGTTGGGCAAGTTTTTAAAATTATTCTACCTCAGGTCCACAGCCTGTGTGTGTGTGTGTGTGTGTGTGTGTGTGTGTTCTCAAATGTACACTTCACATTTGTAAAGGAGAGAAATAGGAAAAGATTGTAAAAAGTCATGACTCAGAAGCCCCTCTTCAAGACTACGAATTTCTGTCTGTTGCCTTCATGTAAATTGAGGTACCAAGATGCAAACTTTAAACAAGAAGCTGGATTGTCATCTTAAACTTAGTTGTTGGAGAACCTCATGAGAAATATTTTATGATCTAATTAGATTGCAGAAGCTGTTAAGTTATAATTGGTGGGTAGTAAAAAGCAAATAACCATTTAGCGCATTAAAAAAAAAAAAAGCCAACTAAAGTGTTCAAGGAAGGAAGGAAAGAGGTGTATCCCAAAATTAGTTAAGATATTAAATTAAAATAATAAAATTATTTTTAAAAGTTTTATTTTTTAAAATTATTAAGGTTAAAATAATAAAAGGTACAATAAAAGCCCTCTTTACCACCACTTTGAGAGTCCATACTGTTTCATAATGCAGTGGTAAAACACCAGTGTTATGATATTAAAACGGCAAATGGAGATTGAAATTTTCTCTTTTCCTCTGCATGGGCAGCCTCTATTTCAAAAAAGAAAATGGGTCCAAGCCGGAACCACAATCAGAATGAACTTACCTAGAAATTTGAATTTGATCAAGATATTCAGAAACTACTCAAACTTTGGAAGTTTCCTTGAGAAATGGTATTTGAAGATATATAAAGCCAATAAAAGTTTATCTGGGTGTTTTTGTGGGTCTTTCCCCTTCCCTTTCCCTCCTTCTTTGAAGTTATGAAGTCAAGGCCATCATCCCTGTTATGTCTGATTGCCTTCCTTTGGCCAGTGTTCCAACCGGTAGAGCTTAGTGATCAAAATCTGCCGAATATTAGACATTTCAGTAATGGCTTTAGCCCCATCGACCCGGCGTGCACATTTAAGATGTCTCGTTGTGACCTCTGCCACAGGTCCCTGATGTGAGAGGGTAGACCCCGATCATGGAGGTGCTTCAGTGCGATGGCTGTGACTTCAGAGCCCCGTCCTATGAAGATCTCAAGGCGCACATCCAGGATGTCCACACGGCATTCCTGCAGCCCACCGATGTCGCCGAAGACAGCGCGAATGAGCCCCGATCCGGGTCCATGAATGCCAGTAATCAGACGGAGGTGGAGTTCTCGTCTATAAAGGATGAATTTGGGATCGCAGAGGATTTATCAGGTAAATCGAGACTAACCTTGGCCTGCCTGATATATTTCAGTGCTCTCGTGTATTTTGAGCCAGTGGCCTTGGTTCTTGATACGCGGGCCTCTGCTCCGAAGAGCTTCTCGCTCTTTTGAGCCCTTTTTGTGGTTTGGGCATCGGGTTTCGATTCTTGAGTTCCTAGGTTTTTGTCCTCTCGGCTTCCTCCTGACTCTTAGTTTCCTTTCCATTTGGAAAACAAGATAGTCTCTCTGAAAGTTCTCGGATGGAGATTGCAGTTGGTGAAACTCATGCTTTCATAGCTATGAAGGATAACTGAAAAGAAACATAGACTTACATGATTGGATTTTTTTTAACCTATTTTATTCAGTTTTTTCTTTTTTAAAAATATCTTTTATTGATTTTTTTTTTTACAGAGAGGAAGTGAGAGGGATAGAGAGTTAGAAACATCCATCAGCTGCCTCCTGCACGCCCCCTCCTGGGGATGTGCCCGCGACCAAGGTACATACCCTTGACCGGAATCGAACCCAGAACCCTTCAGTCTGCAGGCCGACGCTCTATTCACTGAGCCAAACTGGTTTTGGCATAATTAAATTTCTTAATTCTCCCTTGCTTTGCTTTTCTTGTCCCACTCACCCTATGTTTTCTCTTCAGGTCAAAATGCAACCACATTGGGGACCGGAGGTTACTATGGCCACAGTCCAGGATATTACGGTCAGCACGTCACCCCTAGTCCCAAACCAACGAGCAAGTTTTTCCAATGCAAGTTCTGCATACGCTACTTCAGGTCCAAAAACCTCCTCATTGAACACACGAGGAAGGTTCATGGGGCGCAGGCTGAAGGGAGTTCGGCGGGATCCCCCCTTCCGGGGTCCATAAACTACAACATCATGATGCACGAGGGGTTTGGAAAGGTCTTCTCCTGCCAGTTTTGCACGTACAAGTCACCACGGAGGGCAAGGATCATGAAGCACCAGAAGATGTATCACAAAAACAGCTTGAAGGAGATCGCCGCTCTCCCTCCCGCCCCTGTCCCCATGCCCGACCCCGTGATCCCGCCCGTGTCCCTGCAGGACCCCTGCAAGGAGCTGCCCGCTGAGGTGGTGGAGCGCAGCATCCTGGAGTCCATGGTCAAGCCCCTGACCAAGTCCCGGGGCAACTTCTGCTGCGAGTGGTGCAGCTACCAGACACCGCGCCGGGAACGGTGGTGCGACCACATGATGAAGAAGCACCGCAGCATGGTCAAGGTCCTCTCCAACCTCAGACAGGACGGGACGGGTCTCCCCGACCTGCCCAAGAACGAGCCCAGCCCCACGTCCAACTCCTCCACCTACCTGTCCATGAACGCTGCCAGCCGGGAGGTGCCCAACGCCAGTGTCCCCAGCTTCAGGGGCTCCGTCAGCAATTCCATCCTGAGGCCCAACTCCTCGTCCGCCTCCAAGTACTCGCCCCTGTCCTACCCGCCGATGAAGCCGAAGTCACCTCACAACTCGGGCCTCGTTAACCTGGCGGAAAGGTCCCGCTACGGGATGGCCGACATGACGAATTCCCCCGCCGACCTGGAGACGAACAGCATGCTGAATGACTCTAGTTCCGAGGAAGAGCTCAACGAGCTGGACAGCGAGAACGGCCTCAACGCCATGGACCACCAGGCGTCGGGCCTGTCCGCCGAGCAGCTCATGGGCTCCGACGGCCACAAGTTGCTGGAGACCAAGGGGATCCCCTTCCGGAGGTTCATGAACAGGTTCCAGTGCCCCTTCTGCCCTTTCCTCACCATGCACCGCCGCAGCATCTCCCGGCACATAGAGAACATCCACCTGTCCGGCAAGACGGCGGTGTACAAATGTGACGAGTGTCCGTTTACTTGCAAGAGCTCGCTCAAGCTGGGGGCCCACAAACAGTGTCACACGGGTACGACGTCCGACTGGGATGCCCTGAACTCCCAGAGCGAGAGCATCGCCGCCTCCATGAACGAAGGGGTCGTGTCGTACGAGAGCCCGAGCATCAACGGCAGGAAATCGGGAGTCCTGCTGGACTCCCTGCAGCAGCCGCCGCCGCCGCCCCCGCCCCCGCCGCCACCGCCGCCTCCATCGCAGCCTCAGCAGCTGCCGCCACCGCATCAGCTGCCCCCCCAGCCCCAGCCCCCGCCGCCGCAGCCCCCCGTGCCAGCCCCGCCCCTGCACCCGTACAAGTGCACCATGTGTAACTACTCCACCACCACTCTGAAAGGGCTACGCGTCCATCAGCAGCACAAGCACTCCTTCTGCGACAACTTGCCAAAATTCGAGGGGCCGCCCCCCGGCCTCCCGTTGGAAAGCGAGGCGGACGGCCACCCCTCTTCCAGCAACACTGTGAAGAAAAGCCAGACCTCAATCCTCGGGTTGTCCTCCAAGAACAACTTCGTGGCCAAGGCCCCCCGAAAGCTGGCCAGCGACTTCCCCCTCGACCTGTCGCCCGTGAAGAAGCGGACGAGGATCGACGAGATCGCGAGCAACCTGCAGAGCAAGATCAACCAGAGCAAGCAGCTGGAGGATGCCGTGATCAACGTCGAGGACGACGAGGAGGAGATGGAGGAAGACCACGAGGTGGAGATCGAGGTGGAGCTGGACCGGGAGGAGGAGCCGCCGGAGCCCCCGGTCCTGGAGGTGCCCCCGCCCTTCGCCTCGCAGCCCATCTGGGTGCGGGACGCGGGCGGCGAGCCCCAGAAGGAGCCCCCCGGCTTCCGAAGCATCAGCCACGACTACAGCGCCACCAACGGGGCCGAGATCGAGCTCACGCTCTCCGAGGACGAGGAGGACTACTACGGCTCCTCGGCGAACCTGAAGGATCACCAGCTCCCCGGCACCGCTCTGCTCAACGCCCAGGTCCCCCTGTACGGCCCCGAGCACAACAGCGAGAGCACGGACTTCGGCGACTCCGGGAGGCTCTACTATTGCAAACACTGTGACTTCAACAACAAGTCCGCCCGGAGCGTCAGCACCCACTACCAGCGGATGCACCCGTACATCAAGTTCAGCTTCAGGTACATCCTGGACCCCAACGACCACAGCGCAGTGTACCGGTGCCTGGAGTGCTACATCGACTACACCAACTTCGAGGACCTGCAGCAGCACTACGGGGAGCACCACCCCGAGGCCATGAACGTCCTCAACTTCGACCACTCGGACCTGATCTACCGGTGTCGCTTCTGCTCCTACACGAGCCCCAACGTCCGGAGCCTGATGCCGCACTACCAAAGAATGCACCCCACGGTGAAGATCAACAACGCCATGATCTTCTCCAGCTACGTGGTGGAGCAGCAGGAGGGGCTGAGCGCCGAGTCCCAGACGCTGAGGGAGATCCTCAACTCGGCGCCCAAGACCCTGGGCACGTCCACGCCCGTGGCGGCTCGCGGCGGCAGCGGCCTGGCCTTCGGCAAGGGCACCCCCCCCAAGACCTTTCCTCCAGAATGTGAAAACCAGAAGGACCCCTCCATGAGCACCGTGGTCGTCTACGACTGCGACGTGTGCTCCTTCGCCAGCCCCAACATGCACTCTGTCCTGGTCCACTACCAGAAGAAGCACCCCGAGGAAAAGGCCTCCTACTTTAGGATCCAGAAAACCATGCGCATGGTGTCTGTGGACAGGGGCGCCGCCCTTGCCCAGTTGTCCTTTGAGGTGGGTGCTCCCATGTCTCCCAAAATGTCCACCATGGGTTCCCCGCCTCCCCCCCCGCCGCCCCCGCCACCAGACCTCAGCACTGAGCTTTACTACTGCAAACACTGCTCCTACAGCAATCGGTCCGTTGTGGGAGTGCTTGTCCACTACCAGAAAAGACACCCCGAGATAAAGGTCACTGCCAAGTACATCAGGCAGGTCCCCCCCACGGCCGCCGTGCTGAGGGGGGCCGAGGGGCCCCAGGGCTCCCCGCGGCCGCCCGCCTCCATGCCGCCCCTGGGCGGCCGCGGCGGCGGCAGCTCAGAGAGAGATGGCCCCCCGGCGGCAGCGGAGACCGAGATGTTCTTCTGCCAGCACTGTGATTACGGGAACCGGACAGTCAAAGGGGTACTCATCCACTACCAGAAGAAGCACCGGGACTTCAAGGCCAACGCCGACGTGATCCGGCAGCACACGGCCACCATCCGGAGCCTCTGCGACCGGAACCAGAGGAAGCCCGCCGCCGCCGCTGGCTGCGTGCTGGCCGCCCCCTCGGGCGCCGCGGAGCGGGACAAGGCGAAGCTGCGCGCCCTCAAGTGCAGGCAGTGCTCCTACACCTCCCCCTACTTCTACGCCCTGAGGAAGCACACCAAGAAGGACCACCCCGCCCTCAAGGCCACGGTCACGTCCATCATGCGGTGGGCCTTCCTGGACGGCTCCATCGAGGCCGGCTACCACTGCGAGTGGTGCATCTACTCGCACACGGAGCCCAGCGGCCTGCTCCTGCACTACCAGCGGAGGCACCCCGAGCACTACGTGGACTACACCTACATGGCCACCAAGCTGTGGGCCGGGCCGGACCCCTCCCCGCCCTCCCTCCTGATGCCCGCCGAGGCCAAGACCTACCGCTGCCGGGACTGCGTCTTCGAAGCCATCTCCATCTGGGACATCACCAACCACTACCAGGCGTTCCACCCGTGGGCCATGAACGGGGACGAGTCCGTGCTGCTGGACATCATCAAGGAGAAGGACGAGAACCCCCTGCCGCCGTCCGACGACCTGGCGGGCCCCGTGAACTGCGAGGGCGGCCTGCCCGCCCCCCTCGCCGCCGAGCAGGACGCGGAGTGCCCCGAGGACGCCCGCCTCTCCCCCGAGAAGGGGCTCCAGCTCTCCTCCGCCAACCCCGCCATCAGCTCCACGCCGTACCAGTGCACCGTGTGCCAGTCCGAGTACAACAACCTGCATGGCCTGCTGACCCACTACGGCAAGAAGCACCCGGGCATGAAGGTGAAGGCCGCCGACTTCGCCCAGGACGTCGACATCCACCCGGGCGCCGTCTACAAGTGCCGGCACTGCCCCTACATCAACACCCGCATCCACGGCGTCCTCACCCACTACCAGAAGCGGCACCCGGCCGTCAAGGTGACCGCCGAGGACTTCGTGCACGACGTGGAGCAGCCGGCCGACCTGGCCCAGAGCGACGTGGAGGAGACGAGCCGCATCTTCAAGCAGGGCTTCGGCGCGTACCGCTGCAAGCTGTGCCCCTACACGCACGGCACGCTGGAGAAGCTCCGGATCCACTACGAGAAGTACCACAACCAGCCCGAGTTCGACGTCTTTTCCCCGTCGCCCCCCAAGCTGCCGCTGTCCCTCGCCGAGCCCGAGATCACCACCACCGCCGCCGCTGCCGCCGCCTCCGCCGAGGCGAGCCCCTCCCAGGTCTCCGCTGCCGAGGAGGAGGTGGGGGGCGAGGAGCCTGTGCCCGCCGCGCACTTCTCTACCTCGCACCTGGCCTCGCACACGGTGTTCCGGTGCCAGCTCTGCAAGTACTTCTGCTCCACGCGCAAGGGCATCGCCCGGCACTACCGCATCAAGCACAACAACGTGCGCGCCCAGCCCGAGGGCAAGAACAACCTCTTCAAGTGCGCCCTGTGCTCCTACACCAACCCCATCCGCAAGGGGCTGGCGGCCCACTACCAGAAGCGCCACGACATCGACGCCTACTACACCCACTGCCTGGCCGCCTCCCGCACCATCAGCGACAAGCCCAGCAAGGTCATCATCCCGTCGCCGCCCAAGGACGACTCCCCGCAGCTCAGCGAGGAGCTGCGGCGGGCGGTGGAGAAGAAGAAGTGCTCCCTCTGCTCCTTCCAGTCCTTCAGCAAGAAGGGCATCGTGTCCCACTACATGAAGCGCCACCCGGGGGTCTTCCCCAAGAAGCAGCACGCCAGCAAGCTGGGGGGCTACTTCACGGCCGTGTACGCCGACGAGCCCGAGAAGCCGGCGCCCCCGCTGCCTCTGCCGTCGGAAGAGGAGGAGAGGGGCGGCCCGGAGAGAGCCGCCGAGGTGGAGGGGGGAGGAGGAGGAGGCGGCGAGGCGCAGGAGATGGAGTGGCTGCCGTTCCGCTGCATCAAATGCTTCAAGCTGTCCTTCAGCACGGCCGAGCTGCTGTGCATGCACTACACCGACCACCACAGCCGGGACCTCAAGAGGGACTTCGTCATCCTGGGAGGCGGCGGCGGCGGCGGCGGCCCCCGGCCGCAGGGCGCCGCCTACCAGTGCAAGCACTGCGACAGCAAGCTGCAGAGCACCACCGAGCTGACCTCGCACTTGAGCGTTCACAATGAGGAATTCCAGAAGCGTGCCAAGCGTCAGGAGAGGAGGAAACAGCTTTTGAGCAAGCAGAAATATGCAGATGGTGCTTTTGCAGATTTCAAACAAGAGAGGGTAAGGATATGTTTTGATTCCCCTTCCCCCAGGAGGCCTCTCAGCGCTGGTGCCCACACGCACGTCTCCGCTGCCAGCCAAGCTGCCACGGGCTTCCTCTAGTGACTTAGCTTGCCAGAGAGCTCAATAAGTCAATTAAACATTTCGAGCTTGATTATCCCCATTCCGCGCTCACTCTTCTCCACGGTCCTGTGCCCTGCCCTCTCGCTCCTCCGGTGGCTCCCCCGACTCCTCCCCCCCCGGGGGGGGAGGGACGGGGCGGTTTCTCCGTGTCTCTCCTCTCTGCCAAGCGGCCCTGTCTGAGGCCCAGGTCCACGGCGACGCCCGCCCTCTTTTCCCGGAGGCCGCCGTGGGCTGGCTCTCGGCCTCAGGAGCGCTTCTCAGCCGTGTCTCGCTCGGGTCCGCAGCGTTGCCACGTGAACCTAACATCTCCTGGAGATAGAATTGAATTGTGTGTGTGTGTGTGTGTGTGTCAAGAAGCTCACTAACGGCGTAGCTATGCAACGTTCTCACCTGCCGTAGTCGAAACGGGTTTGCAGACCAGATCCCCTTGGTGGCCGTGACGATGAGGCTTCTCTGCACAGGAATCTTCTCACAAGTCGTAAATGCACGCGGGTTCCAGAGACTTTGCATAGCAGGCAGTGTGCCACGACTCTTGACGAATTCGTTATGTGTTAAAAAAAAAAAAAAAAGTCCTCATTCTCTCTCTCTCTCTCCCTTGGTTTTTTAACCCGCTAATCTGCTTTTTAAAAAAATAAAAATAAAATCTGCTAGTAAGCTGCAAGAATAAATGTCGGCCGTTGTGGGAGGGCTCCGAGTACTGACGGCTACCACTGTATTTTGCCAGCCTTTTGGTCACTTAGAAGAGGTGCCAAAGATCAAGGAGCGGAAGGTGGTGGGCTACAAGTGTAAATTCTGTGTGGAAGTGCACCCGACGCTCCGGGCCATCTGCAACCACCTGCGGAAGCACGTCCAGTACGGCAGCGTCCCCGCCGTGTCCGCCGTGAAGGTGAGCGCGGGGGAGGCCTGGAGGAGCGTTCCCCTGTGTGTGAGCCGTCCGTGCGCATTACTCATTAACCCCAGGGCTCCGAGCGGCTCCGGGGAGGGCGGCCCGGGGTGTGTGCAGCTGTCGGTCCTCCTTGTTTTGGTTTCTTTGCAGGTTGGACCTCCCTCGTCTTGCGTGTCTCTCAACCCGGTCGCGTTCCGAGCCGGTTCCCTTCATTCCGCGTGGGTAGTTGGGCGGAAACGGGAGATCTGGGCCTCTGGGCTCAGGAGGCTTTGGGTCGCCCTTCTCTTCTGCGTGTAGAGCCACTAGCTGTTGGCTCTTCATTGTGGCCTGAGCCCCTGAGAGCAATGGAGTGTGTTCTGTCTTGTCCTCTTGGGCTGTTCCCACTGGCCTGGCCTCTCACTGTTCTTTCTCACCAGGCTGGCAGGTGCAGAGAGCCTGGGAGAAGAATCTGTCTTTTACTTCTTCTCCTGGGTCCTCGAAGGAGTGGCAGAGACATTAAACCTAAAACGAAAAGCCTTAAGTCACAGTTGACCCTGAGAGCCTGTGGCCTGATTTGTCTCCCGCCTGCTCCCTCCCCTGTTACTGACACATGCCATCCCTCCCCCATCCTCAACCCCCACCTCTTAGCCTTCCATAGGCTGCCTATTGCGAGCATCATGGCCAGAATAGATGCCACTGTTTGGATAACCACACCGCTACCCCGGCCTTCCGGGACAGGGCTAGCCTGCCGAGACAGAGAAGCTGGCTCAGGGCTTTGCTCTCCTCTCCTCCCTGGATATGTGACGGTGTATTTGTCGTCAGCCCCGTCTGATCTTGTCCTGCTTTGCCCCTGTGGCGTGGAGGCAAACCCTCTGCTCTTCTCCTCTGAAGACTAAAACTGCCTGGCTGTGGGCAGTGCAGGGGCAGCGGTGGTCGGCGTTGTCCCAGCCTCAGACTCCCTCAGGGGAGACAGCGGCTCTTCTCATAATCAGTCATCCAAGGAGCCACCTGGAGACATGAGTGACTTCAGACCATGCTGCTGCTTAATTTCTTGAATTGATTATTCATCAGCCTTCAGGCAAGGGCTGAAGTCCCCGTCTGCGGGGCGGGCTGAGCATGAGGGACAGAGGGCAGGCTCGCTCCCTTTCCTTGATTTCCCAAGGACGCCCAAACGGACTCGGCGTGGTATCCCTTCCTTTCCTGTTGCTGCCGTTGGTTTTCCTCTGAGCCGTAACCCTAACCTTGCTTTATGTCAGTTTTAGGTGAGACCACAATTTTAATTTTCTTTTTTTTAAAGATGGGTGATAAGTGAGCAAAACCGTCTTCCGTGTGGGAGTACCTCTCTCTCAACTTTTCCCAGGCCCTCGCCCCCTGGGCCTGCACACATTGCCCTAAAACCACCACCAATGGCCGGCAGGTTTGCCGTCCCCTCTAGGGGGAGCTGGAGAGGCAGGGAAAGAAACTGTCAGGAAGGGAGAGGAGGAAGGCCGGGACCAGTGGCATGGATATTTATGTTGTCGGTGGGGCCTGTGTGTGTGTGTGGTTCTCTTAGCAGGAGGCTGAGGACCCTGCCCACTTGTTCCTGGACGGACTGGACGCAGCCAAAGATGCAAGTGGCGCCCTGGTGGACCGGGTGGATGGTGAACACTGCTTGCTTGATGGAATGTTGGAGGATGAGACCCGGCCGGGGGGATACCATTGTAGTCAATGTGACCGAGTGCTGATGTCCATGCAGGGGCTGCGTTCTCACGAGAGGAGCCACCTGGCCCTGGCCATGTTCGCCCGCGAGGACAAGTACAGCTGCCAGTATTGCTCCTTTGTCTCCGCATTCAGGCACAAGTAAGTGCTCAAGGAGTGGTCGCGTGTTACCTGGGGGGAGGGGGCCTCACGGAGGGCAGCTACGTGAGGGCGGGACAAGCTCGGAGGAGTCAGCAGGCGCCCCTCGTGGGTCACGCCTGCTGTCTAGTTGGCAGTTACCTTCAACTTGATCTGTCAAATGGGGCTAAGAGCAGGAGTTGGCTTGGTTGATAGAAGATTTGATTAATGCAGAGGCCTTTTTTTTTTTTTTTTTTTAAAGACAGTTTTGGAGGTATGGCTCTGATGTACACAAAGAAAGATCAGAGTCTCGATAAGTTTACTGGTACCTAATCATCATTTGAGGAGTAAGTTCCATTTGGGAAATGGAGTGACTGGGAAGGTAGAATTAGGACTGTTAACCCATGTGACCAAAGGCTCATTGCTTCATTCTTTAAAAAAAAAAAAAAAAAAAAATATATATATATATATATATATATATATATATATATATATTATTTCAGAGAGGAAGGGAGAGGAGGAAAGAGATAGAAACATTAGTGATGAGAATCACTGATGGGCTGCCTCCTGCATGCCCTCCACTGGGGATGGAGCCTGCAACCTGGGCATGTGCCCTGACCAGGAATCGAACCGTGATCTCCTAGTTCATAGGTCGACACTCAACCACTGAGCCATGCCGGCTGGGCATCATTGCTTGATATTTTTTAAAAGACCTTGAAAGGTAGATAAGTTGATGGAACCCAGAGAAAGGCTTGCAGTTCAGAGTGGTTGTAGAGTGGGAGCTTTCCATCGTTCGTCCCGGCTTAGAAATTGTAAACTTGGAGTTTTTACGGAAGGCTTTTTGGGGTGAGGAGAAGAGGGATGGTTCTGAGACGGAACAGCATTTTGCTGCCTTTCCCTGTTGAATGTGCGCCAGAGAGAAATGTTCCGTAATGTGTTCTGCGGTCTTGTATGAAGGTGACTAATTGTAAGACTATGACATGCTGTTTATTTTTATGGTAATTGGAAATAACTGATGGGCTGTTTGCTTCTTTAAACAGACAAAGTGCTAGTTAGTGGAGGTGGAAAGGCGGGAAGAGGCAGTGCTTCTGCAGCGTTTGGGATGCTTAAAACTATTATTATTATTCGGAGTCAAATATCTAATCGTTGTTGTTGGATCCAGGCATCAAATTTGTTTAGTTCTCATCAATTCCAAAACTATATTTTTGTTGTTGTTAATCCTCACCCGAGGATATTTTTCCTTTTTTGGTGGGGGGGATGTGGAAGGGAAGGGGAGAGACAGAGAGAAACATTGATGTAAGAGAGACATTTTTTTTAAATATGTTTTTATTGATTTTTTACAGAGAGGAAGAGAGAGGGATAGAGAGTTAGAAACATGGATGAGAGAGAGTCATCGATCAGCTGCCTCTTGCACACCCCCTACTGGGAATATGCCCGCAACCAAGGTACATGCCCTTGACTGGAATCGAACCTGGGACCTTTCAGTCCGCAGGTCGACGCTCTATCCACTGAGCCAAACCGGTTTCGGCAAGAGAGACATTTTTAAAAAAATATATTTTATTGATTTTTTTTTTTTTTACAGAGAGGAAGGGAGAAGGACAGAGAGTTAGAAACATTGATCAGCTGCCTCCTGCATACCCCCTACTCGGGATGTGCCTGCAGTCAAAGTACCTGCCCTTGATTGGAATCGAACCTGGGACCCTTCAGTTCGCAGGCCAATGCTCTATCCACTGAGCCAAACCGGTTTCGGCATGAGAGAAAAATTTTATTGGTTGCCTCCTCCACGTGCAACCTGACCAGGGCTTGGGATTGAGCCTGCAACCAAGGTACATGCCCTTGACTGAAATCAAACCTGGGACCCTTCAGTCCATGGGTTGACACTGTATCCAGTGAACCAAACCAGCGAGGGTCCGAAGTACATTACAACAGCACCTGTCACCTAGCAGAACCTCAGGACATCGTTGTGAATAAGCGGGTTTGCTCTTGTGCTCGGCAGTGTCCTGGAGGCTTCGGGGCATGTGAACATGAATGGGACGGACGTAGTCAGTGTTTTACAGGAGTTTAGGGTCTAGCCAGATGCTAAATAAAGCAAGCACACTAATGACTTGCCATAGAAAGTACACTTCTTTAAAAAAAAATGTGTGTCAATAAAATGCTATGAAGTCTCAAAAAGGGGGAGATGTTAATCTCACTCTGAAAGAATCAGGAAGGTTTTTGGAGTCGGGAGCACTTGAGTCCCGTCTTAAAGTAGGAAGATAAGACCTGAGTGGTTTGGAAAGGGTGTGCGACGTGGGGTAGTGATACACATTAGGGCTTTTCCCACACCTTGCTTGGTGGATGGATTTATTTTCTTTAGAGTAATAATGATGTAATGCTGGGAATGCATATCATTAAATAACATCCTTGTAAGATGCTTCTGGAAGACGGATGTAGAGTAGACGTTGTTGTGCTTGTCAGAGGGATGACCAGCCTCTGGACCACGGGGCTTCCCGTAATCACACCTGCATGTTTACAAAGGCTTTGGAAACAAGCCGCTCGTTGCAAGTAGTTCAACACTTTGAAACCCTTCTCTGCTCAAGTGTTATCTCCTCCTTCCTTCAGCTTCCCCTCCTTTTAGAGTAGGTGGCACTCTTGGCCTTTTTTTTTTTTTTAACCATCATCATTGGAAAGTAGCGAAATGACTTGGAACAGCTTAGAAATGGGATTTCTGGAAAAGGGCAATGAGAAAACGTCACACGCAGTTTTTAACCCTGTCTTTTTGTTCGTTTGTTTTTCTCCTATGTCAAGTTTGGATCGCCATATGCAAACCCACCACGGACACCATAAACCATTCCGATGCAAACTCTGCTCCTTCAAGTCCTCCTACAACAGCCGCCTAAAAACACACCTACTCAAAGCTCATGCTGGTGAGTTGACATCGGGGATGGCCACGTCTGCTGCGTTTGAAATCCTGTGGTCTTCACTGAGTAAAACTTTAAAAGTCTCCTGTCCCACACATGAGTATAAGTTATTCCTGAGGCGGTTGCACATTTAGTTTTATTTTAATCAAATAAAGAAAGACTAAGGAATTGCCTAAAGCCAAAATAATACCAAGCCCGGTGTCACCCACGTCACAGTTGATGCATGCTGATGGTTTTTGCTGGTGAAGAGAAAGTTCTAAACTCCCTAGCCTTTCTAATGGAAATGCAAGAATAGTTTCATCCACTGAAGATAATCCCCAAGTAAAGTAATGTTGTAGTCTTGAGGAAGTTCAAAGGAACACTTAAGAGATCTCAAGACAAGTAGTGAGATTCTTGGGGAGTTGCCTTAGGTACCTTTCCAGATACAAGATAAGCAGGGGTTTGGGGTCATGCGTGTCCCTGGGCAGCATGGGTCTCTATCCCTGTATGGTCCATCTCCCTGTGCTTGCTTCATTGAACAATTTACCTACAGGGTTCTTTACTGAACATGTTACATTCATCATTGTATTCATCCTCATGGCAGGCCTAAAGGGCAGGTTGTCACCCTCAGTTTCAGGTGACCTGCTCAAAGCCATGTGGTTTACTCACTGAACTTCACTCCAGAACAAGCACATCCCTGTCATTGATGGGATGCTCGCTCTCTCTCTCTCTCTCTTTCTCTCTCTCTCTCTTTCTCTCTCTCTCCCCTGCTCTTCTCTACTTTGCATATGATAGGGGATGCTCACAGGTAGATAATCAGAACTTGAAAGAAAAGACGCCTGACGTAGGAAAGGCAGTGGGGAGGGACCTGGGGATGTCTCTATGACCTACTCAATCTCTCTCGGAACCCCAACTCGGCAGCAGCCTGGGTGTGACCCTCTCAGAGCTTTTGACAAACTCACATCAAACCCAAAGGGAAACTGGGGAAATGGGGGCCTCAGGACACCCAGCTCTACCACCAGATTCTTTCAGAAGTCATCTCCTCCCTGAGTTTCCTAGGCTGAGGGATTTAGATCCTACTTTAAAAATTGGCAGACAGCTAGAATTCTCCTCATTTTTTTGGCTCCCCTTGGGTGGTTATAAAACCCACCAAGAACTTGAGTCCTTCCTTCCAACACTTTGCCATCTCCTCATTGCCTGTGGGAATACACTTGTCTCTTTGCTGTCTCTTCCTAACTGTAGGGTCCCGTTGAACTAGCTCAATGCAGTGAAGCTATTGAAGGCTTCCAGATGCCCTGGGCCCCACAGCGGGCAGCAGGGTGGGGGTGGGGGTGGGGGTGAGGATGGGGGACCTGGGACAGGGGAGATTAGCCAAATGGGCTTGTCTCTATCTGTAAGTATTTTTATATCTCCAGGAAAATTCCACTGACTTTCATGGAGAGGCTTCGGGGTTCAAGCCATTCTTTCCTAACTGTATATTGTAAATGACTCAGCTGGGGCCCCGGCCTGGTGTTTTTCCCCTAGGCCTCCGCCTTGTCAGAAGCACTGTCGCAATGGGAGTTGGGTAAATGATTCGGCCTGTAGGAAGGGCTTTGAGGGGGTGCCAGTGGCTGCACACTGGCTCCAGGGAACTGAGCGGAAGTGTAGGTTCTTGGAGCTGGCAGGCAGACTGACCTTCGGTGCCCACTGGTTGGAGGGAAGGAAGCATCCAGATGGGGAGCCAGTGGGAGCGGTGTAGTTCAGCTCTCTGTGCACCTGGGAGCTCTGGTGTCCACAAATGGCCCTCAGCCACTGACAGTGGCCCGGCTAAGGGAGAGCCAGTACATTTTGCAAAGGACTGTTGACTCATCTTGTCTATTGTATATGGATTATTTTAAAGGATAAAGAGTCATGTAGATGAACCAAGTGACCTGGATTTGAATTCTCTCTCCAGTTGGACTATTTACAACCACTAAACAAAGTTCGTTAACCAAAGGACTTGTATGCATATATGCATAATCCATGGACACAGACAATAGGGTGGTGAAGGCCTGAGGTGGGGATGGAGGCACGCTAGAAGAGGTCAAGGCGGGGGAGGAGGGGAGCGGGAGAGGTGGAGAAGGTGGAGATATAAGGGAGAAGGGGGACATATGTAATTCTCTCAACAATAAAGATTTTTTTTAAAAAAATAAATTTTACTGATTTTTTTACAGAGAAAGGGAGAAGGATAGAGTTAGAAACATCAATGAGAGAGAAACATCGATCAGCTGCTTCCTGCATACTCCCACTTGGGATGTGCCTGCAACCAAGGTACATGCCCTTGACTGGAATCGAACCTGGAACCTTTCCGTCTACAGGCTGATGTTCTATTCACTGAGCCAAACCGGTCAGGGCATAAAGATTTTTTTTTTAATTGAAAAATGGAATAGGGAGAGCAGTGGTATTATATATAATGTAATATCATAATTATTGTAATAACATCTACAATGATAATACAAAAGTAAACTCCATATTTTGAGTACTCACAATTATAAACCTACTTTTGCCCCACCCTGTATTTGTAACAATATGCATATAATGTGTATATAATATATATGTACATATATATGTGTGTATATATATTACTTATATAGGTAGTAGTAATAAAGCGCATTGCTCATGGCCCAGCATTACCTGTAACTCCTAGGTAACTATGGGGGACCATTGATGGATGTTGTTTGTTTGGATCCTCTGACCTCTTTGAATGTCTGTTCTGCCTCGGGCTGTATCACGTTGCTTAAATCCAGGTTAGTTTCAAGACTTTCTTGGAAATGCAAGCTTTGGGGTCATCCGTGGTGAAAGGAGACTTATTGTAGAACTTGGGGTGAAGAGTCACCTCACATGTGAAACCATTGGGTGGCAGGCGGCAGCCCTTCGCTGCGTGAAGCGAGGACAGTTTTCCCTTCCAGTTCCTGCTTCACTTACTAAACTGGAGACATCAGCTCCGCCCTCAGCTCTTGCGACTGGCCCAGAGCACCTTCATAACCATAAAGCCATTCTTCTCTCATTCCTTTACTTCCTCCTCTTTCATCTCCTCTGGCTTTTAAATTTCACTTAAAAATAAATTTTAAAAATACATGTTGATTATAGAAAATTTGAAAATGAAGGAAATATAGTCAGTCGTCTATAATCTTATTATCTCAAGACTATGGTGGTTAACTTTTTTTTTTTTTTTTTAAGAATGTTTTCATTGATTTTAGGGAGAGGGAAAGAAACATCAGTGATGAAAGAGAATCACAGATTGGTTGGTTACCTCCCACACACCCCCTACTGGGGATCAAGCCCACAACCCCAGCATGTGCCCTGAGTAGAAATTGAACCGTTATCTCCTAGTTCAGAGGTTGCCAACTGGTGGTCTTTGAGGTCCGAAAGGTTGGCAACTCCTATCCTAGTTCATTGGTCTACGCTCAACCACTGGACCACACCAGCCAGGCAGCTGTTGTTAACATTTGATAGTTTTTCCTTTCAACTGTTTCCTCTATAATTATTTTTAACAATTTTGGTTATAATTTAATCTAAAAGATATTATGTCTTCCTATCTATTTTTCGAGTATCTTATTTTCTTATGTTGTTATAGACTCTTTAAGAAAATGACAATTCATCAAGAAGATAGAGCCACATTTACTGAATCATTTTCCCATGGTTGGAAATTTAGGTTGTTTCATCTTTTTCAAGCATAAATGCATGTTTATTTCTAAATAAAGCTTTCTATATACTAAAGGATGTTTCCGTAATGTAAACTCTCAGAAGTGGAATTACTGCATTATAGGCATAAACATCCAAAGCCTATTGTTCTGAAAAGCAGAATTGGTTTCTGAGATGATTGTACTAGGGTAACATAACATAAGCTTGCCCATTTCACACCCTCGCCTCTGAAAATGTAGTTAATTGAAAAACTGACTTAGGGCAAAGGTAAATCATACTCTAATTTAATTTAGTCCCAGTGATTCGTCCCGCATTTCAGTGGTATAAAAATAATTAAAAAGAACGTTCTTATTTTAACTGAAATATCCTGTTTATTGAAGAAGGTAGAGATATAAGTATAGCCATACCTCTTTCGGTTAAAAAAAAAAAAAAAAAAAAGGACTTGTTTTTACCCATTTCTGTATTATTGATTACATAGGGAAATGAGGTTTTATCCTGAGGTTTGTGAACTGGTCCAGAAAGAAAACAAAGCCTCCTGTGAGATGAGTGGAGTCGGGAGGTGTGGAGTCAGCAAGGAAGTGGTGAATGAGACTAGCACAGTGGACTGGAACGGAGGGACTGGTGATGGAAAGCTACTGAAAGGTCATGGAAGGAGAATTAGGCGTGTTTTTTCCTGATGATCATATAAGGGCAGCCTTGACCGGGAAGCATTTCTGGCGGGGGCATCTTAGACATTTGGTTTGGCTCCCTGTGGAGGAACAGCCCATAGGCCCCTCCACGACAGCAGAGTGTGAAATGGGGAGGAGCCAGGTCACTTGAATAAGGAGTTCCTCCAGAGTTTCAATCCCGGAGGAGAGCAGTGGCTGGGGAATGGGAGGGGGTTATAGACCCCGAAGCTCAGGATGCTCCTCCATCAAGTGATTAACCGTGTTCTGGTCTCCACCCCACCTGTGCCCTCCTTCCCCCTTTGTCCCTTGCCCACCTCCCAGGTGAACATGCCTACAAATGTTCTTGGTGCTCCTTCTCCACCATGACAATCAGCCAGTTAAAGGAACACTCCCTCAAGGTCCACGGGAAAGCCCTGACGCTGCCCAGGCCTCGGATCGTCAGCCTGCTCTCCTCCCACAACCACCACGCTGCCCAGAAAGCCGCACCGGCGGAAGAAGTGGAAGACTCCAATGGTAACGTGGGCTGCCCGGCCAGAGCTAACCGCCGTGGGGTGAGGGGTCTGGGGGTGATTGCCAAGCCTTCTTTCTAGAAGGAAACCTTACACAAACACGTGGAGGTTCAAGTGAAGGAAGAAATGTGAAAGGGTTGAAACTATAGAAATATGGGAGTTGGGCCCTGGCCGGTTCTTGGGTGGTTAGAACATCTGGCCTGCTGACCGAAGGGTCCCAGGTTCAATTCCGATCAAGGCTCATGTACCTGCGTTACAGGTTCAGTCCCTGGCCCTGGTCAAGTTGAATGTGTGAGGCAACCCATCTATGTGTCTCTCTCACGTCGATGCTTCTCTCCTTCTCCCTCTCCTTTACTCTCTCTAAAAATCAATGGGGGGAAAAAATCCTCAATACTAACAAAAGAACTAAAAAAAAAAAAATGAAATTGGAGTTGGAAGGTGGTGGGAACTCAGGGAGCATGTGTTGGGTGCTGACGTGTGTGAGCTTTGCTTGTGGAAAGAGCACGATGTGAGGGATGGGTTAGTATTGGTTCTTTCACTGTTTGGGAGCCAGAAAGAGGATGGGCTACCAGACAGATCTATTTCTTTGTTTACTTATTTATATTGTCTTGTTCTAAAACAATATACGTGTTTTGAAGTGGTTGGGGTAGGAGAGATGTATGTTAACGACACAGAATTCAGGGTAGGAATGGAAAGGGTGAGAGGGTAGGGCGAATATGTCCGACTGGATCACAAGCTGCTTTCGGGATAAGGCAGCGATTGTTATGTAGCTGAAGGGGGTTGAGAACGCATCATTTGGGAGGAGGGTTTCAACTGCCCAAGTTTGGAGGCCATGGAGGGGTCTCCTCACTGGCAATGTCACCAAAGCTGCAGGGCAGGCAAGGAGGGAGCAAAGGGATAGATGGTGGTTTTGGTCACTGCAGGAAATAGAAGGGTCTTGATGACTCAGCTGCCCTCAGGTGAGGGAGAATAAGGTACTTAGGAGAGGAGGACGAGCGAGCATGGCAGGAGACCTTAGATAGAGCTGCTCTCCCCCAGGTCCCTCTTAACGCCCAGGTTCCTCCCACCAGGTTCTTCCCACCGCACCTCAAGCACCCAGTTACCCCCCACCAGCTTGAGGACCAGGTCGGGGAGAAGGTGTTTCCGAGGGTCTGCCATGGCGTTCTGGGGAGGAGCTTGGTGGACTGGAAGGAACGTACACGGGGTCTTAGGGACAAAGGCTTGGCTTTGAATCTTCCTTCTCCTGATGCCAGTTGTGTTTTCCTGGGCCACCTTGGCGTGCTGTACCCCCATATAAAACTGGGTCAGAGAGTAACTGTTGACCTGGAGAGATTCATGAGGAGAGGTACACTAATGAGAATAAGGTGGGATGCCTGATTCAACATCAGATGTGTGGTTTGTATTTAACAAGTGTCCGTTTTGTTTCCTGTGATTCTCATCCTTTGACTGAAATTCTGGCTTTTGGGACCTTCTGTCAGAAGCATGAAGTTGGGGTTATTTTTCACGTTAAGGGTTTAAAGATATTGACTCTTTGGGTAACGTGAGGATCTGACTGCCTAGCATGTCCACACGGTCTAATTACCAGATTACCAAGGAGGTAAATGAGAGGGCTTTATTCCTGAGGTCTACCAGAAGGCCGCTGTAGGAGGGGGAGGAGAGGTAAGTCCCGAGACTGGCAGCTGCCCCTCTTTTTTTTTTTTTTTTTTTTTTTTTTTTTTTCATTTACAAATGGGACTTTATTAAATTTTAAAACTTTTTTTTTTTTTTTAAATCAATCTTTATTGTCCATATTATTACAAAGGTTCCTCGTTTCTTCCCGCCTCCATCAGGTTCCCACCCCACCCTCCACCCCCTCCCCATCCCCCATTGTCCTCATCCATAGGTGCAGTTTATGTTCAGTCTCTTCTTCCCTCCCTTTCCCCAATAGTAAATCCCTTTTCAGATAGTAAATCAGTTACTTAGCATTTTCTCAAATCAATAATACCTCCACATGCCCAATAATACACTTCACACAAAAGACATTTCCCAGTAGGTCAACCAGCCTCATCCAGGCCCCACCCAAGGCACTCACAGATCAACACCCCAGTCCTAAACTAACTCAACACATCCAGATCTAAGCCTTCATCACTTGATTCAGCAGACCCTCAAGTTCCCACGAAAGTTTCCAGCCATGTCTGAGAAGCAGCCGTGGGGCAAGGGCAGGCAAGGAGCGAGCTGTTCTGGGCCTGGCTGCTCAGGGCCTGGCCTCTGTTGCTCTGGTTCATTCCACAACCAGCTGCTCCGGGTCTGGTCACTGCCGCTCCCGACCTAGTTGCTCTGGACTTGGCTGCTGCTGCTCCGGGCCTGGCCGCACCCAACCCGCCTGCTTCCCCGGGCCTGGCCGCTCCCAGCCTGGCAGCCGCTGCTCCGGGCCTGGCCGCACCCGACCCGCCTGCTCCCCCGGGCCTGGCCGCTCCCAGCCTGGCAGCCGCTGCTCCGGGCCTGGCCGCACCAGCCCCGCCTGCTCCCCCGGGCCTGGCCGCTCCCAGCCTGGCAGCCGCTGCTCCGGGCCTGGCCGCTCCCGACCCGCCTGCTCCCCCGGGCCTGGCCGCTCCCAGCCTGGCAGCCGCTGCTCCGGGCCTGGCCGCACCCGACCCGCCTGCTCCCCCGGGCCTGGCCGCTCCCAGCCTGGCAGCCGCTGCTCCGGGCCTGGCCGCACCCGACCCGCCTGCTCCCCCGGGCCTGGCCGCTCCCAGCCTGGCAGCCGCTGCTCCGGGCCTGGCCGCACCAGCCCCGCGTGCTCCCCCGGGCCTGGCCGCTCCCAGCCTGGCAGCCGCTGCTCCGGGCCTGGCCGCACCCGACCCGCCTGCTCCCCCGGGCCTGGCCGCTCCCAGCCTGGCAGCCGCTGCTCCGGGCCTGGCCGCACCCGACCCGCCTGCTCCCCCGGGCCTGGCCGCTCCCAGCCTGGCAGCCGCTGCTCCGGGCCTGGCCGCACCAGCCCCGCCTGCTCCCCCGGGCCTGGCCGCTCCCAGCCTGGCAGCCGCTGCTCCGGGCCTGGCCGCACCAGCCCCGCCTGCTCCCCCGGGCCTGGCCGCTCCCAGCCTGGCAGCCGCTGCTCCGGGCCTGGCCGCACCAGCCCCGCGTGCTCCCCGGGGCCCGGCCGCTCCCTGGCAGCTGCCCCTCTTGAGTTGTAGAACCTGGGGCCTTTCCTAGGCAGACCATTAAACACTGTGGTCCCCCAGTAGCTTCTTCCTGGTATCCTGCCATAGGGGACTTCCCTTTCTTAAAGCAGGTTTGTTAGGATGATTGTGGCTTGCAGCGGGGTGAGCATGCTCCCTCTCAGCTGCTGTGTGGTAGTTTGAAATGCAAGAGAAAGCCTGTGTTGTTGTTTTCCAGGCAAAACTTGCAGTCTGAATGCCAGGGGCAGGGGCTAGGGCATGTGAAAGGTACAGAAAATGCTCCCCTGGCACCTTGAGGTTCTGCGCGTGGGAAAAGACTGGTATGTAGCAACGAAGGGCAAAACACAGTGTCAGGTACCAACCCTTTGAGTGCGTTGTTTTCATCTGAAGTGGAAGCTACACCCGTGGAGCCATTAGGGTGAAGCTGATCCACCCAAACACCATTTCCAGCAAAAACTTGACCCAGGACACGTCTCTCGATGTCATAGCTTCCTTTTCCTTCATCTTTCTCACTTGAAGGGTGCGTCTCCTCACAGGACACGGGAATCCCACAGACCACTCACTGCATGGGGTGCACTAACAAGGGTTAAGTTCAGGCAACTTCCTGAGTCTGTTACTCTATACCAGTGTTTCCCAAAGTGTGGTACATGTACCCTCAGGGGTACAGGAAGAGTTTGGTGGGGATATGCACTGCACCGTGCTTAGCTGCACCTAATTCTACGTTCTCATGAGTACCAGGGGTACTCAGCATTACGAAAATTATAGAAGGGATACACATATGTCAAAAGTTTGGGAAACACTGCTCTAAACTGATAGCTACACTGTGCACAGAAGAATCAGAAATGAATTGAATGCTGGGCTGGCATGGCTCAGTGGTTGTGCATCGACCTATGAACCAGGAGGTCACAGTTCCATTCCCGGTCAGGGCACATGCCCGGGTTGCAGGCTCGATCCCCAGTGGGCGATGTGCAGGGGGCAGTCAATCAGTGATTCTCCCTCAATACTGATGTTTCTGTCTCTCCCTTCCTCTCTCTGGAGTCGCTGTATTTTTTTAAAAAAAGAGGAAGAAAGGACTCGAGTACCAGTACCATTCTATTCCTGCAACAGCGTAAAAATTCAGATGTTTAGAAGGTAGTATCAGTACCTACATCTGAACTAATCACAACCCTAAGCCAGAGACTTAGCCTTTTTGTGGGTGAGTTCAGGTTCTTGGAAGCTAGACTAGATTGGGACCTTGGGGAGGGTGGTCACGGAGTCATGATGGCACGGAATTGAGTCCCTCACTGCGTGGCACAGAGAGTCTGCCTTGACTCGGCCACAGGAGGGTCGTTTGCAATCAATAGAAGTGGCGGGGTTCTTTTTCCTTTAAAAGAAAGAACATAGTGAGTGTGAAAGCCCTGGGTGGCATGCATCTACGTAGGGAGGCCCGTGCTGGTTTTAACATGTAAATAGCCACTATCAATGGGTCAGAAGCGATTTATTTAATTTGACGAAAAAAACAACACTTGAAAGTGGGGGAAAACAGAAAGAAGGTATCAAATCAGCTCTTGTGGCGAATGAGAAATTCCGTGGAAAGAGAACTTTTGTTTATTGGTTCAGTAAATATTTTCTCGGATGCTTACTGTCAGTCTTGCATAGTTCTGGGTGCTCAGGAGCGATGGAGGAGGTCCAAGGTGAGAAGGCTCGGTGCCGGGGGGGGGGGGGGGGGGGGGGCAGTGGTGGATCCCTGTCAACAGCTAAGCCTGGGGGTGAGAAAACAGCTGCTGGGCTAGACCTTAGCCAGTAAGTCACGCCCCGGATGGTGTTTGCAACGCGAATGTGAAATCCAACTGCACATTTTAACCGG